AACCGCTTAGAGAGGGCTGAAAGCCCTATGAAGCGATATATAAGTCTAACTGCTATTGCTATTGCTACTACAGTTTTTTTCCCCTCAATCTCCACAATTTTAAGGTGAGTGAAGGTGTGGTGGGTGGGGAATTCAGAAAGTTCAAGCCAGGGGTGAAATTCAGCGGCAAATATCACCTCTGGCTGGCCCCAGATGGGGAGGGATGGGGATTTTGCAGTATCCTTCCCCTGCCACACTCATCAAGCCACGCCCACAGAACCGGTAATAAAAAATGCATTTCACTACTGGTTCAAGCACACACATTTTAAAGTTGTTGAGGTTCAGAAATCCAGGTTTAGTGTAAAGAATTCGGGGATTCATCCCAAATACCTTGAAAGCCCTCTTCTTTCCTGATCTCTCTCTTCCCATTTTGCTGCCCCCACCTAGTTTCGGGAGAGGACCCGGCTTGGCGTCCCGACTGCTTTGTTCCAGCTTACCCGCTCCATGTCTTCCAGATCCAAGAGCCCCCTTCCCAAACACTGGACAGCCACCTGAGTAGCCTGCAGCGTGTCGGTGAGGCGATCGAAGAAGAGGTTCACCAGAGCCTTGCCCAGGTCGCCGATCGCTTCCAAAGAGGGCGAGGGCAATTCGCTCAGGCTGGGGTCCAGGTAATTGGCGGCGCCGTAGCCTCCTCGCACCAGCGCCTCGCAAAACTGCTGGCATAAGCCCGGCGAGTCGGCGGCCTCTTTCTCCACCACAGAGAGCAGCTTCTCCGCGGCTTCCACGTTCCCCTTTTCTTTAGCCACGGCGCGGAGCTGAAGTTTTTGGTCGAGGCTGAGGGACGGCATCATATCCAGCACTCGATTCACTTGGACGCTGGCCTTGATCCTGTTCCTAAAGCAAGAGATCAAGTAGAGGACACACTCGTCCCGGGATGGGCTGGCGGCCGCTTCCATCCTGCTGCTGCTGGAGCCGCCGGCGGGGAACCGCTTGGGAAAGGGAGGTGATTCCGTCTCCGCGCACGTGGAAAGCAATCCAGACCTCGGCTCCCAAACTTACAACTTCGCCCGCTGGGGAAACACAGCGGGGAAACACAGCGGGGTGTTGGTTTCCCTCCTGAATCCTGATCCTGTCGCTCGGCTTGAAATTCAATCAGCTGGGCGATCTTCCGGCTGCAAGTTTCGGTTTCTATTCTCCGTGGGAGCTTAGTTTCCAGGCGGCTGTTTCCCTTTGCTCTGAAGGGGGAGTGGTTTTTTCTACTTTGTCCTGCCACGGAGGACCTTACCGCCTGCTCCGTGAGATGAAACTAAGGCGGTCAATGTCCTAGCTAGCTTTGAATTATATTGATATTGTTTATCAATATTATTGATAAATGAGCCGAGGTGGCGCAGTGGTTAGGGTGCAGTACTGCAGGCCACTTTAGCTGACTGTTATCTGCAGTTCAGTGGTTCTAATCTCACCGGCTCAAG